GTGCTGCTCCACAGGGACGTGAACCAGGTGTTGGGAGGTTTTTGTGCAAACGTATTAATAGGTGTGATTAATGCAGGGCTGTCTGTTGTGGCCTGTTTGGCTTTGTTTTTAAAGGTAAAGGTGGGACGCGGGGGTTTGGGTTGGCAGCGCCTCGGGGCAACTGAGTCAAGTGTAAACAAGAGGCCTTTGAACCTCAAAGGCTAACCCCAGTCGTTAGCCCCTCGGTGTCTGACAGGGGGCATCGCTCTTCAGCTTAACTGCATGGCTAATAGCCCAATTAAAAACATACCGTGCTATACATTATCCTGGGGGGGGCGCACCACCAAGAATATATGTCTGTACATGAACACACAGACGTCTCTTCTCTCATGCATATTATCTCTTTGCTTTTGTTTCTCTGCAACTGCCTCTCCTTCAAACACACACACACACACACACACTGAAGAGCGTACACAGGCTCCCCTAATTAGTGTCTCTCCAGTCCTGTGTGTTAAGCAGCTAGCTGCGAGTGGTCCTCCTGAGTGACCCGTGAACAGAGCAGGGCTGCGCTCTTTCCCCACTTAATGATCAGGCTTCAGTGGGTGGTACTGGTGGGAGATCATTACTTTATCCCCGACTGTCTACTGTGGGAGGCGGTGGGAGGCGGAAGGAATTTGCCATGGGAGGCCCGCTGCACTAAAAAGTATGTTCTACAGGAAAAAAAGGTTGAAGTTCAGGCTGTATGCAAATACAGCTCATTTATTTGCTCACAACGCTGGTTGTAAAAAAGTTTCACGAACTCACACACGTTAAGGCGAGTAATAATCAAAGAGCGTCTGGTTGTTTACGTCTTCCTCCTGTAATTCATTCTCAGCGATGCTCAACATTTACGTTGAAGTTTCCTGTCTGTCAGGTTTCACGACATTTTCTACACATTTGAAAGAAACTTGATTTCAGTGTTTAGTAGAACCATTGAAAAACCCAGAACAAAAAATTTTCAAAATTTCTGCAGCTCCCCCTTTAGATATAACACCTATTTTGGTCTGCTTCAAATTACTCCTCAAACTTTATTTCTAAAACTGTCGACCCTGCACGACATCAGCAAGCAAATTATTGAATTATTAATTTATTGAAATGTCAATATTTTGGGGGCTTGCCCCCCCCCACCCCCGGGGCTGACACTAGTATTTGCTTCCATCAGATCTTTGTCTTTCCTCCCTTGACGTTTCAGCAGGNNNACCGTTTTAAAGACCCCGACCCACCTGTTGACATCCTTTGCCAGTTGTTGCCAGTTTTGGGACAAACACCAGACTGTTGCCAACACAGTGTTGCAAATGCAAAGTACTGATCCCTACGACTGCTTTGTTCAGTGAGCAGCAGGAGTAATAAAGTGAGCTGGATTATTCTGCTGATCTTTACTCTCTGACTTCATCATTTTACAACCCTTCGTTGCTGCTGAAACTGCTGTGATTAACACGAGTGTCGGATGTCGATCGTAGTTATAAAATCAGGATTTGAGGAGAGCAGCTGGGAAATGGCTCGGAAAGAATTGTTTGGTAGTGGTGTTTAATGGTCCGTGCCGCTCGCTGTTTTATGCCTCTCTATCAGTTCTCTTCAGTTTCAGTTCCGACGATGGAAACAAAAGAACATGTAAATGACAGCAGCGCAGCTGAGAGTCGAAGCAGTCGATGGTAGGACAACACAGGAACACACTGCCACGCCAAACAGGATGCAGACACATATGAGGGTGTTTGACCCTGTCTTGTTCTCAACCTCAGGTTCATGAAGAGGTAAGCCTGCCTTTAGCCCCCCCAAAAAGAGATGCTAGCAGGCTGGGAAAACAGACCGTCTGACCAGACCAATTACAGACTTAAAAAGCCAGGCTGGCTGTCAGACAGAGAAAGGTGCTGCGGTGTGTGTGTGTGTGTACAGGAATAACAAGACAGACAGCTGAATTGTGGGTAGTTAAGGGTGCCACCACCGCCCTGTGGCTGAAGAGCAGCAGATACAGGCAGTCAGTATTGCGAAATAATTATTACACCCAGAAATTTAGCTCCGATAATAATGTGCCATTTGTTTCTTTCATGTGGACTCCCAACTGACAAAGTAAGACTAATCTGTTCTGTCTCCATCCCTCTCTCTCTCCCTCCCTCCCTCCCTCTCTCTCCTTCTGTGGTCGACCCGCGTCACTCCAACTCCCATACTCCCACACAGCGTGCAGATTCCAGCAGGGCTAGTCCTCCAGAGTTTGAACACAGTAAACAATTATCTTTCTAGCCCAGAGCTAGCAGCAGCGCCCCCAGCAGCCCCCTTTTTCCCTCTCTCTCCCCGTCTCCTCTCTCCTCTCTCTCTCTTTTTTAACTGTCTCTCATCTTCCCCCTGCCTTTCCCTGACATTGGCTTAAATAGAATGTTAATTTTGACTGCAGGATTTCAAAGCTCAGGCAGTTCCTTTTCATCTTAGTGTGCACCACAAGTTCACCAACACAAAGTCACTCTGCTCTTCAAAAAGGAAGTTGGTTTTTTTTTTTTCCTTTTTCCCCTTCCCATCTATTTTCTTCTTCTTCTTCTTCCTCGCTGTTCTTTTTTTCACTCAGCTTGCTCTATCTTCTGTCTGTTCTTTGAAATAAACAGACTTTGGGGAAAGCTGAATTTGAAAGAAAATGTTACTTCCATCTGAATCTGTGGCAGTTTTACAGAGGTTGGAGGCCCGGGAAGGTTAAGGCCTGGTCGCTGTTCTCTGCCCTGATCCGTGTTTTCTACCGTCCCTGCTTTTAGAACTAGTTATGATTTAGTTACAATTGTGTCGATTATGTTGCATTCACTTGTCCATGTATTGTTCCAGCTGGCGTTGTATGAGCATGTAAACTGATGCAGACGAACACCCCACCTCCATACACTTCTAGTGGTCCATTAAAGGGATCTGCTCACAACGTCACATTTTTAAAAATATTTATAATTTTTAGACATCACATCGTACAGTAGCTTGTGGAAATATTTTGCCACACAAGTTGAAAAGTTTTTTTTTTAGCTCTACACCTGCCAAACTAATTTTGACTTGAGGTTTCTTTATGTTGTGGAGTTGAAAGCTCCCTCACCGTGGCCTCAGGCAACAAATAAACATCGTTAATTACAGTGTTGAACGATATTCCCAGTCAACTATTTTAATCACTTTTGTGTTTGCTTTTGTAGTTACCGAACAAACTAGGCTACTTTTACTTACACAACACACCACCTGGGAACAAGATGACAGGATAAATATGAAACGCTGAGACAGTTTGATATATTAGGGACACACACATCCTGAAATCACTGCCAGCCTTGGAGAAAACTTTGGTGCCAAATATATACCTCACATTCCGTCAAACGGTAATTTAATTAAATCAAGAAAAATTAAATACTTTTTTTTTTCTCACCTTCAGCTCATCGCAGAGCTGCAAACGTCGGTGTGCGACTCCAAGATGGAGGCCGTTCGTCTCCAGCAGGCGATGGATCGGCAGCTGGCGGAGGCCAACGCTCGATGGGACGAGGAGAGGAAGACGATGACTCACCACGCTGATCAGACCACCAAGGTAAAAGATTTGAACATATTTATTTTTAAATTCCTTTTGAGGAAAACGAGTTTTAAAGTTGATGGATGACGAGCCTTAATGTTGAAACAATAATACTACAAATCAAATGCACGGTGAAGTTGTCAGGGTGTTGAATTTGAATCATTGTTGAAAGCGTTGGTTGTTAATTTGTTGTAAGTCATAAATAATGATATAAAAACTTGTTTTCAGTTCATCTAGAGCAGATTGACATGACAGAGCAGTGTCTGAAAATACACTTGGCATTATGGGAAGAAAGCAATTTAGACTTCATAAAAATGTTACTGTATAAATAGAGCTTCAAAACTTTTCCATTGTGTGTCAATATAATAATAATACTAAGTAAGTAAGTAAGTATAAACAAGCTTCAGTCATTCAAGATAAAACAGGTACAAAAACATCCACAGCTGTGATGGCAGTACTGGGGAAAGTAGAACATTAACACAACGCCACAGCTTTAGCTTCTGGATGTAAGACAACAGACAACACTCCAAAACACAAATTAATTATTAGAATGTGAGAATTTTTTTTTTCTTATTTTAATTCACTATTCAATAATTATTACATTTGTTTAGTATAAGAAAATGATCAACATGTGCTAGCTAGCTATATGCTAGCTTTAGCAGCACAGCAGATCCAAAACAGGTGCCAGGTGTGACATCATCATGCCGAATTTGAAGCAGCTGCCACACGAGGTGCCTTCAGGTATCATCGGAAACTTGACAATCACATGATTATGGCAGTTTACGTGTTATACTGTACAGCTCACGACAAATGGTTATAAAAAATAATATAAAATATACTTATGTTTATTTTGCTTTTTTTATGTCCACCCACTTTGAAAACCACTGATTTAGATCATGAGATTTACCAGAGAAACATTAGAAAACTGGCACTTCCTCAGACTCCTCCTGCAGCTTTGGTGGCGTTCTCTTGTTCTGTATGCAGTCCTTGAACACATCAGGTGATGAAAGGCTAAAGTATGCAGCCAATTGAAGCACATGTTTTTTGGCAACTCCTTTATAATTACTGACATTACTGAGGCAGATTCCAACACTGTTTCTTAGTAGTCTCGCCTCACTTTGGTCAGTCTAGATTGTTACGACGGCCTTATCTCCCAGCGGTCTTATAAACCTCTCCTGCGGTCTCTGCCGTGTCCATCTGAAGCTTAAAGACTCGCAGAGTGAAAACGTTTGGAGCTGGAGTGTGTCAATAAACTGTGTCCTTTCTGAAGAGCCCCGTCTGCCTTTGACTTTTATGGAGTCAACACTGGTCGCTCTTCTTTTGTCGACGCACGGTCACCGTGTGTGCACGCGCTCTGTCGCTTTTATGGCTACTTGCGAAACTGGCAGTGTCTTAAAGTGGCTTGTGTGCTCTGTCTGCCGCTCCCCACTTCTTAAGTCTATATCATTACTGTCATCCTTTTTTACACACAAAATTTACGCTCTGCCTCCTTTTTTTAGCATCAGTTTTATTTATTTTTCCTCATGTTTGCTGCTTCTTCTCCTTCTTGCATTAAACCTAATCTCTAGCACAGGAAGCTGAGTGTATTTTGGTGAATACATGTCAAAACTGCATGTTATTTATAACACTTCCCTGGACTTGTTTTTTATTTTGTTCTGTTCAGTAATAGTATATTAGTGCAATAAATGTGGTCCCTATTATTTCTATGATTTTTTTTTACTTTTCCTTTCCAACTGATTCCTGCAGATTCCTGCTCTAGTTTTTAAGAGATATTTTAATCAGCATCCTTCCTCAGCCACCACTCTGGGACACTGACAGTCTGCTGGGTGTGGCAGTCGTCTTGTTGTGTCTGGGATCAAGACATGTTGCCAAACTCAAAACCCTGTGTGTTTGTGCTCGCAGCTCCATCATGTAGTGAGGAGGGAAGTCTGTGAGCCTCCCTTCAGATCTCTTCTCCCTCCAGGGCCCTTGAAGCCCCTTCCCCTCCTCACTCAGCCTGGACCTTTTCTCCTAAAGCGGACAGTTTTCCTCTGAAGTGATTGCCCCGAGCTCTAACCCTCACATGTAGAATGGCTGAAACGCCAGGTCTTCTTCCTCTAGTTTGTGACTCAAAGTCAAGTGAGTCAAAATACTGCAGGTTCACTGCAGATTCCCAGGTGAACCCAACAACTTTTTCTATAATTTGTCTTTAAACAAATCAACAAAGTCTTAGTTAATGTCGTTCACACACGGGATGCCGTCCTCGTCCTCAGGAGGGTTGGATCTCCTCTTTAAGAGACTCTGTTCCTGCTTACACACACACACACACACACACAGTAAATCAAACAGAGTTGTTTAGAGTCTCTCTGTAGAATAATGCAACACACACGCTGTCTACAGTAAAGCACAGGACACAGGTGATTTGGGCGTGAGCAGACAGACGCTCTCGCTTTCCATTATTTGCGTCCTCATTAATAGGATCCCTGCTGTATTAACCACCTGCTAATGAGACTCCAATTAGTGGTTGAATTGCTTATTAAAAGCCAGACATGAGGGGAAGCAGGGAGTCAGTGGGGAAGAAGGTAAGATTAGTCAAACAGTGAGCAGAGCAAACCAAAGTGAAGGAGGGGAGACAGAGTTGATGTAAAGTTGACTTAAAAAAGTAGAGGAGGAGGTGGAGACGGGACACGAAGGGAGAACAGAGGACTGAAAAAAACAAACAGAATAAAGAGGAAGGATACATAAAGAAGAGAAAGAAAGGAGCGGTGGAGAGCTGTCAGTGGGCCGTCACAGGGAGCGTGTCGCCCGCTGACATTGTTTCCACGCTGATCACTTCAAAGGGCTGGGATTATGGCGAGAGCGAGGGGCTTCAGACAATGGGTGGGGAAGAAAATAACATCAAAGTTAGTTCTGCATTTGAATTGGGATAATCCCAAAACAGTTGTTCTGACTGCATTCTGCTGCCAGATCAGATAGCTCTCTCTCTCTCTCTCTCTCTTTTTTCCCTCCTCTTTTTTAACAGCTCTGTTCTGCCTTTTCTAGCCTAAATTTAGCTCCGTCAGTGGAGCTACTGTACTGACGACCTTAAATGTGGCGCTCAACTGCAGAAACCTCGGTGTCTCGTAAAAACCTTTTTTGGAACGACTGTAATACAGTTAAGTATGCTCCTTATTGGGAGGTGCAGTTTTTTTTTTTTTTGCATAATTGATGTGTTGGTGGAGTATTGCAGTACTTTGACTGTACTTTTGCTGCACTGTAAGTTTGTCTAAAAATCATTTAAAAAAACAAAACATTTCTATCCATGCCTGACATTCAAGGATATTTGCAAACAATGTTGCGTTTAATACTTTTGCTGCACTGTAAGTTTGTCTAGAAATCATTTAAAAAAACAAAACATTGCTATCCATGCCTGACATTCAAGGTCCTTACATTTAAGTCTGCTGCAGATGTCTCCTTGTGCAGCCACAGAGGCATTACAGCAGCCTGTGTCGACTTAAATTGGCTATTTAGGTTATTTAGCATACATGCTAACATCATAGCCCCTGGTCTGAGGCTAACTGAATTAATACACTAAAGTTAGTGAGCACAAGACAAAAAATACTTTATTAATTAACCATCATTTTGTGGTATTATTTGGTATATTTTGATATTTGTGTGTGTTCTGGGGAACTGTTCCTAATAACCTATATTAGCTAAAAGGCTAAAATATAGCATTTTCCTAAGAGCTTTTTGGACATTTGAACGTCACATTTATCTGCTGACTATGTTAAATAACTTGTACAATTTACTGTTGGGATAAGAATAAGATAAGGGCTTTCAAGTCCTTATAGCGCCCTCTCCTGGTGGGTGGTTTTAGTGGTTATAGAAAATCTGCTCTTTGTTTCTGTTTTTGTTGTATTTATTGTGTTAGTGATGTCAGATGTTGTATATGGAACGGTGTTCAGGGTGGAGAGTGGGTCACTGCCTCTGATCCTGATATATTTAGGTCACCAGTTTTGTCTTAACACCAGGCCAGGCAGGATTGGGCAAATTTTAATACATCGAAACTGGGTCGGTGTCAAAGGACCACGGATGGTGAAAGCCAGATGAAAGCCCGGTGTCTGCTTTCATCTGTCCAGTCTATTCATATCAGATAAGGGGAATGGGAGCCAAAATAGAAGAAGCCAGTGTTGTGTGTTGGGCTGCATCCAGTATTCTGGGCTGGTGTTTTCTTCCTGATGTCATCTGTTGCCCTACATGTGTTGTCTCGGTGAAGTGTCTGCATTTGTGGACGGATTTTCCTCTTTCCTCCTCGTTCCTTTGATGAGACACAGTAGTTGGACTTTAATAGTGGAGTCACTGGAATTACTGCTGTGCTTGACTTATGTCTGTGTGACAATATGCACAGTCAGTGCCTTTGAGTGTGTGTGTGTGTGCGTGCGCACGTGTACTGGTTGGAGAAATGAGTGTGTGTGTTTGAGTGCGTGCACTTCCCCAAAAAATGTGCAGCTGCCAAATCTGACAGACCTCAAGCCCACATTAGGCTGCCAAAGGAAAGGTACACACACACACACACACACACACACACACACCTCCTCTCTCTTCCTCCCCCTTTCTCTCTCTCTCTCTCTCTCTGTTTCTTCTAACTTTTTATTGTCTCAAACTCTGTCTGTCTCTAGCACACATTCACAGGCACACATGCTCACCTCACCCTGCAAAAAAGGAGAGGTGGCTGGTGAATAAACAATGGCTCTCCGCCCATAGTGTCACCCGCCTGGGCTTTGATCAGCAGCGCTGTTCCTGCTCCACACAGCACTGCTTCCTGTCTCTCTGCCTGCTGAATGTTGCCGTGCGCAGCGGCCCGTGCACACACACACACACACACACACACCTTTCCCATACTGTTCATGTCTCATTCTCATCCGCGGCCCTGCATTCACTCTCCCTCTCTCTCTCTCCCTCTCTCCGTCTCCGTCTCCGTCTCCCCTCTATTTTCTCCTCACTAAGTATTTATCCGTCTCCTTCTGTCCCTCACGCTCGCCCACAAACATCGCTTTGAG